CACCCACCCTGGAGCCTGCTGTGACTGTGCCATCCAGTAGGTGGGTGAGCTTGCCCTGCTTCCCATGCAAGGCATGCACATGAGTCACGTCTGGGTGCTGGCCTGGGTAGCATTCCTAAGAGCCCAAGGAGCCGAATGAGGGTTAGGCATGGCTAGCCTGCTGGGGTGATTCAGGGCCGCACTGGACTGCACCGGGGACAGAGGGCCCCTTTCTGCACCTTCTCCCTCCCACACACTCCCATCTCTCCTTCCAGGAAGGAAACACAGCTATAGTGGAATGGACCCAACCTGCTACCCTTGCCTAGAATCACTGGCCCAAAGAAGGAAAGTTTCGATGGTGGAACCTCCTGGCACACCCAAGTGAAAGTTGATTCTGAATATTTTCTTCACGAAAACAACCAGTGTCAAGGAGTCAGCTGTCTAGAAACAGGGCTGCAAACCCTCTCCCTGGGCAGCCTGGCTATCTTCTGGAGAACAGCCTTGGGCTGAATGTCCAGATGCTGTTTACAAAGACTGAACTAACAGGGGGAAGCTTATGATGTAGTAATGTTAGTGAAAATGAGGATGCACAGTTTGGGCACAGCGTGAACACAACCATGGAAAAACAAAATCTATGCATGGGGGGAAAAAAGACTAGAAGGAAATGTACCCAAGGTATGGGTGACTTTTCTTTCTTTTCTTCACTTTTCTGACTTTTCTTTAATGCATTATTGATAACAATTAATAGTTACTTTTTACTTGGAAAAGAAAAGAAACTGGACTCTGAGTGCAGTGGAAAATAAGAGTGACACTCATGACATCTCCAACCCAGCCTCACCCCGAGCCCCTTCTCTAGAGGAGAGAGGACCTGGGAAGGAACGAGATCACATAGTATGGCTACCAGCTCCGTGGGAGCCAGCCTTAGGAGGCCGTGCTTCTTCTGTACCTGTTCCCACCCCAACATCCACACACCTCTCTCTAAGCTCCAAAGGCACAGCTGAGAGGTTGGCTGGAGGAAGCCCTCACCCATCTCTGACCCCTTGGGGTCGGGGAGAGGTTCCTTATGGTCCCCCAAGTCCCTACCTCACTAAACATTTCTCAGTTTTTCAGATAAGACAGACCCTTTCAGGAGTCTCTGCTTTTCCCTGAGTTACCCGACCTGAAATGCTCTTAGCCTTCAAAACCGTGCCCAGGTGTTCGGACTTTGGCCCTGCCCCACCACCCATCTGTACTCCTTTAGCACTTTTCTCTGTCTCGGGAACAGTGATCCCAGCAGTGCGCTGATTTATTTGCTCGAACCTGTCTCCTCACCGGACTATGGAACCTGGAGAACCAAAGCAGTGAGTTAGTCCGCTTTGGAGTCCTAGTGGACAGGTTCCAGGTCTGTTCAGCCAGCTGGACAGAGAGATGAAGTGACCCAGCCCTATGCTCTGGCCAAACCTGGAAAACAGGAGAGAATCAATGGCAGAGGGATTGAGACCTAATTAAAAAAGGGGGGTTTGGAAAGTGCTAATGGCTGAAGAAATGGGATTCTCTTTTGGCTTAGTTCAGTGGACACTTCTACAATACAGTCAATTCTTAATTCTCCATGTTGTGGACTGTATTAACCACTTAAAGGGGGGACCTGGGGGAGGGAGACATTGTTGGTGGTAACAAAGGTCAGCTTGAGTCAGACAGGATGAAGAAGGTGAAACTGCCCAGCCTGTGTGGTTCAGTGGTTGAGCGTCAACCCATGAACCAGGAGTTCACAGGTTCCATTACCAGTCAGGGCACATACTGGGGTTGTGGGCTTGATCCCCAGTATGGAGAGTGCAGGAGGCAGTGGATCAATAATTCTCGTCATTGATGTTTCTCTCTCTCTCCCTCCCTCCTTCTTTCTGAAATCAATTAAAAAAACATTAAAATTAATTAATTAAATAAAAAGAAGGTGAAACTGCTGTGGATGAATGAATGAATCAATGCATTAGTGGATTGATCAATTTATGCTTTAATGAATAAAGGCATGCATGTATTAATGTATGATTAAATAGGCAAATGAACTAACAAACAAGGAAACTACAGCTCCAGCCAATATTTCAGACTTAACTTTGAAATATTCTGCTGTTTGAATGAACCAGCTCTGGATCCCTTCTTTTCCACCACTCCCCAACCTTAGCTCATCCCAAATGGAAGGGTCTGTGGCTTCTGGCCCCTGCCTACTTTCAGGGGAATACCTGTCCTCATCTCAAGGAGTTAAAATACTCCTATTCAGTATTATTTAAGTTTTGTAACTCTGACACAAAAAGTTCCTCCTTATGTCCTACTATTCTCTTGTGCTTTAACTTAAGCCTGTCCTGTCTGTCATCTCAGACACAGAAACCCTCAGACTAGATGGAGGCTTGGAGACACAAATCAAGCCACCCCTCAAGCCTGCTCTCCTCCCTGCTCTCTCACCTTGAGGGACAGGCACAGGATGAGGACTCCATTTCCCATCACGTGATCATGTGACCTGCTCCCACTCTGAAGGTCAAACCCAATGCCATGCTAAGCTCAACTCTCACCCCATAAAACTGAGGTCACCTCAGATCCCACATAAACCATAGCCACAACTCTTCCTGAGCCTTCTTTCTCCTCTCTTAGACCCGTGGTCGGCAAACTGTGGCTCGCGAGCCACATGCGGCTTTTTGGCCCCTTGAGTGTGGCTCTTCCTAAGCCTTAGGAGTACCCTAATTAAGTTAATAATGATGTACCTACCTATATAGTTTAAGTTTTAAAAATTTGGCTCTCAAAAGAAATTTCAATCGTCGTACTTGGCTCTGTTGACTAATGAGTTTGCCGACCACTGCCTTAGACCATCCTGGATGCTTGCCCTTACCCTCAGGTGAATCACCCAGGTGGGTCTCCCTGACCTCCCTCAGCTCATATCCACACGCATACTTATGACTTTAACAGGACTCCAGTTGCCCATCCTATGCATGTCCCACAAGGGTGCGCATTTTGTTTAAAGGCCCACCACTAAATGAGGAATCTCCAAGGCCAAGGAACATGTTTCTGTACCATTTCCCCTCACAGTTCAGCCAAACTTAAAGCCAGGAAAGGTCAAGAAACAC